CGAGGGAAAGAGGCCCGTTTTTTTTTTTTTTACTGTTTTTCGCACTTTTGATACCCACGTATAGCTTGCTGGGCTCTGAACATGGGGGCTGGGTATACTCACGGGTGGCCTGCCAGGCTCTCCCAGGGTGGACATGGAGCTTATTTGTTGGAGGTGACTCCTAACTGCCTCCCATATACTTCCCAGTCACTTGATTTCAGCCTTTTAGCCTTTTAGCGTGTATGCATACCCCTCGTAAATACAGAAAGCATTTGCCAAGTTGGCGCAGGAGAAACAGGGAGTTCATCCTCTGGATCCACCTGCGTCTCAGGAAAGCAAAAGTCGCTTTTGGTCCGCGATTAACCCCCTATCCGCCACCTGGGGACGCGCCATGCAGTCTCTCGACTAACCGGCTTGAGATCCCTCATATGAGGGAGATCCATGGGTGAGAGTAATATGTGTTAGAAACCTTATTAATCAAGTAATTTGAGCTATTTTTGGTAGATTCAAACTGTGTAGCCCAGTTTGGTGTTACGCGCGTCTCTTAAACCTCGGAGTAAATCGTTTATTCGCTGTGCGATGCATGGTACGTGAAGTTCCCGACATGACCAAAAGGCCAAGCGCTCCAGTTGTGTAGTAAGTAGAGAACTAGGAGAAACCCGGACTCACTGTTTACCATGGAATTTTGTTCCCACCAGTGGTTCCATGGCTTCTTCGAAAGATCGCGACGCCGCATATTGTGCTCCCCTTCTGCGTGATTGCTCTATCATGCCGTTTCCATGTTAGTTAAGGCTACATGAAGTACTTATTCTCTGTGGTAAAGATTCCTTCGGCCTCGATTTGTCTTTTTTCATCGACACTTGTCACACCACAGGATACTTTTGAGTTTTTTTTCTTTTGAATCTATTCTCGATCCTACACTTTGTCCACCTTCACTGAGCTGTTTGACTATCGCATACGCCTCATGAAATCGGCAAAACCATCGACAAAACTAAGGTCTGAGAAGAACTTTGTATCATTGCGTCCAAATAGCGCGACTTCACCATCCAATGTGGCAATGCAATTTCAAAGGGCTGTAATGGCAATTGATCAGATTCCCTGCCTTGGACGAGTTCACCCTCAGCTCCACGAGCACTGATGTAGTAGAATCACTAAGCTCTTCAGAAATTCATTTCCTGTTTTAACACATGTTTTCAAAGTGGTATATGTCAAATTTAACTTTATTAATCCAATAAAAATCATTAGAATCCACACATCTGGACCTCTGAAACCGATAAGCTCGTTGAAGGCAGTTTCGGTCTCGGCAGGATTCCAGAAGTATTTTTTGCTGACAAATCTTTGAAGAGTCAAGAGAAGGTTACGACTTTCCGGTCGAGTGTAAGTTGCGATCATGTAATACACAACAAAGCCATAATCAAGGACGCTTCAAGTGAGACACGACGATCGGCGGCGGCGACTATGTCGTTGTAGATGTAGGTTTAAAAAGCCTCTATGACTAGCCTAACGAGTTGTTTTGATCCAGCTCCGCTGTAGCCTTTTGCTTTTCAAGATCTGATCGCCTTTTATCAATTATCTCACTGGCCAACGTCTTAGATGGAAGCGTCCAGTGTGCAAAATACTGAAGCTGATTTCCTTCTTTTTTTGGAGGGGGAGAGGATAGGACGTCGTTTTCACGTGCGCTCACCGGTCAGATGCGATCAGATAAACATTTGCCAACTTGTGATTAAATTAGTACTACTAGAACGGTGGTGATCCTTGGTGAATATTGGTTTACTCTAAGTTGGACCTCCAGACAAGAATGTCGAATTCTTTCTTAATAAGGAACACCTTGCAAAAAAGTAAGAATATGTAGTTACAACCACAACGTTGCTGAGATATTTGCAAAACTCTGGACCGCAGGTGTCTATGGTGAGGAACGAACGCACTTTTGTCCTTTCCGCGGAGTAACGCGTTCACCACCACACCATGCAGGTCCTTCGTTTCGCCTGTCTCTCAGCTATTTCTATATTGCTAAATTATAGTAGGCAGAAAACAAAAAGGTATAACAATATGTAGTTATATGCTGAAGCATCCATTGAGAACCGTATTACTTCGAAAAACTTCACAGCCGTAGAATAGAATCCCAATGTTTCACACCGATCGGAACAGTTTGGGGGTCGTAGCTTAAAAATTCTATGTTGCTACTGTCATTAATTAGGGATCAATTATATGACAGTGTGCTTACATGCACCATTCGATCTGGAAACCCATTGTTAATCTACAGCAACGTGTAAAGTTATTTTCTTGAATCGGAAAAACAATACAATCAAACAACGTAATATTAATATCAGGAATACTGAATTTCAGTCTTCGGCAGAGCAACTCTTAGCTTTTTCAGGACCTTCTCTGGACGATAAACGCTCTTCAAGTTGCGGAGAATCAGGAGCTTCAGACCACTAAATATTTTGGATAGTATGCTATCGAGAAGTCGAGGAAAAATAATCTATATTAACAAATTGTATGGAGCAGTGAAGCACATCATAATTTGCCACAATTTTCAAAATTACTGAGCACGGTAGAACAGTTTTCGCCTCAGATCATAAGGATTTAGTTTCAAACAAAAATTTCCAAAAAAAAGTAACCACTCTTTTTAAAGAAGAATCGTACCGGGTATCGAATGAACCCAATTCAATCCTCTATGTTAATCCCATAAAACTTCTCATTATTTTACCTCTTTTATGGCTTGTCGCTTCAACAGTTCTCTTTAGAAACCGAACTATGAGCCAATTTTTATTGGGAATTGCAATCTCCACTACAGCCACTATGTGCAATGTGCATAGGCCAATAGCGTCAAGACTTTTCAACATTTTATAATTCCAATGACCAAAACACCCTTTTCATTGTTGAGCCACAAACTGTCGCTGAAAAGCGATCGATTCCTATAAACTCAGTCTACCATCGTGAGTCGTTGGATGTCATATAAGCACTGGAGAGCGCCTGTAGCACGTGGCTAGCGGTGCCCTGAAATACGCATGTTGTTCTTCGTTCGAACCCGTGCCCCAGGCCCACCAAGCTCTCTGTCCTCCAGTGTCGGCAAATTGGTACCAGACTTGCCTGGAAGTATAGCAGAACTGAGATGATACATTGGTGGTCTCTCGAAATTGATTGCACAGTCCAGACGGAGTCGAATGCATGGCGCATCCCTCAGGGATTGACCAATGCCGAACCCTTTATCGTTATCCTTGATACCTGATCCAATGCATTTACCTGTACTAGCTATGGACTCCACCAAGACTTGACCATTTTCAGCTGTTTTATAGCACCGAAAAGGGTTTTATTTCGGATATGAGTAATCGGCGACTCAATCTGTATGTCGTCGTCGATTAGAGACAGCGCCATGTTGGAGAACCTATAAAAACGTGGTATCCTTATGAGGTGGAGTGTTGTCGGCGTGTCTAATGAGGTAGAACTGTCTAATCAAGGTCCTGAAAGGCTGGTTTCGTAGCATTTCTGATGGCTTCGGCCTTTTTGTTGCATAGCAATTGCTAAACATAGCAATTTAACCACATAGACCTTGCCCTCAAGGGTCTAACTCTTCGAGTACAACTCAGGGTAAACAGCGAACTGTTGTCTTCCAAGAGTGTGAAACAGATTTCTGTCGCCGCATAAGTTGCCCATCGGAACTTAGGCCCACTTTCCTCTACTTAGTACTGGAATACAAACACTCCTCTTTGTCTAATGTGGTAACCAGCTTCAAAAAAGAACAATATTAGAGGATTTCGTTGTGAGGTCAACGACGCAGCGACTGTAACGATATGAATATTACAGTCACCAATCAGTAGTTGTAAACCTTGATCTTAACTCCTAATTCTGAAAATTTCATTCGATCACAAATGTTCAGCGACAGTCACGAGACTGCTGACAATTTCTTCAACACTTCAGACTTCTCTATAGAGACCTTAATAGGTCACGATATTTAGTTCATCTTCGCTAAAGTCGATTACGACTCCAAAGAATCAGTGCTAATGGGGTCAAAGACGCCATATTTAAAGTGCGAAAACCGTTTCTTGAGCTACAGAGACCGTCGACGGATTTCTCTCCTCAGAATGCGCAAATATCTTCGGCATCTTTCGAAGAGTTTAGGCCCGAAATGCACAAGGACAGCGAAAGGTAACGGAAATGTTCGGTTTCTTTTAACACTTGGAATTCCACCTTCTTAAGAAAATCCATGTCCACAAAAAGAAGCAAACTTCGGAGAGATATCTTTTACGAAAGCAACCATTCAGTAGATAGTACTTAACACGAAAACGTTTGTATCGAATAAATGTTTTTTATAAACGCTAAGGACCTACGTAGCATCATAATAGCAAGCCTTCCTCTGATCCGAAAACAACTGGAAACCATCTGTGTACCATCTATTCCTTGGTACACATAGTAGGAAACTGTAGCTGTAGGGAATTTTCTAGTAAAAATGGGAGTATAACTTCAACGATGCTGAGATATTTGCAAAACTCCCGACAGCAGGTGTATGCGGTGGGGAACGAACGCGCTGTTGTCTCTTCGGAGAGTACCACGTTCACCACCACACCACGCGGGTCCTTCGTTTCGCCTGTCTCTCAGCTAGTTCTATCGATCTTTTGTCATCAGCAATCACCCGTCAGCGGGATTGATCTGTGGGGGGCAAATCGGCAATGAACCCAGTTGAGCTGAGGCCGCAGTTTTCGATCGATAGAACTAGCTGAGAGACAGGCGAAACGAAGGACCCGCGTGGTGTGGTGGTTAACGTGCTACTCCCCGGAAGAGACAATAGCGCGTTCGTTCCCCACCGCATACACCTGCGGTCGGGAGTTTTGCAAATATCTCAGCATCATTGAAGTTATATTTCGCAATGTATACCTTGCCGTTAAAAAGAGTAGGCAGTAAATAATAAGTTAAAAAATGGGAGTTTCTAGAGAATTTGCGACGTACTAATGGAGGTGGTCCAACTATCTAATCAAATTTGACTCGCATACGCTTTGTAAAACACTGAAATGGATGAAACTTCACCTGCATAACTCCAAATGTGCTAAGCCGAATTCGGTGATCCTGCGACATCCATCGATCTCAAGAGTATTCAAGTACAATCCGACCGCCTTTCCCATATGCTCTAATCCATAGTCGTGTAAATTGTCGCAGAAACGGAATCTAACTTCCTTTATTCCTATTAAACCTTCTAAAATAAAACCACTATGTAAAAAAGTGAAAATCATCAGAGTAACAACAAATCAAAAGACACTAACCAAAGTGGCGACAGCCGTAACCGGTAATGGAGGCATCAATGGCATGAATATGCGTGAGCTTCACGTCGTCCTCAGGCACCCTTGGATCCAGTTCAGCAGTCCTCTTGATCAGCGCATCATAATCATTAAACATGTCATCGATTTTGTCGAACCAAAAACGAAAGCATGTATGGAGACACAGGAAAGGGAGGGAAGGTTCTCATAGAATTTTGTTCACCATTCACTTTTTCCCGCGTTTAAACCGGCTTGCGTCCAGCTGGAATACCTTCTGGTACATTCTGTACCAACGGCACAGAGGTACACAAAGTCAAAGAAGAAAGTAACATCGAATCAAACTGAACAATGAATCACACTGGCCCACATGTACCTGCTCTCCATTACCTAGACGACCGCGCATGTTTGAAGAATCATCCCACTCAGCGAGCTGTAGATCTAACCGAATTCAAGCATACCCCTACTGAAAAAATGGGCCTCCTTCATGCTATCATAGACCAGCAACTTAACCCGATGGTGTGGCTATGTGGACATGTGGGCCTTTCTGTTCAATATGGCGTCTATTTAAAAGTTTGATCTTCATTAATACTTTACCCTTTTTTCCACCGAATAATAAAAACATTCTAATACAAAATACGTCTAGGCTCTGAGGAAGGCGAAGTCGCCGAAACGTCAGCCATCGACCAACAACATCAACAACAACGACAACGACAACGAAGATCTGTACCAACCTCGCATCAGCTTAAGAAGATCAGTTTATAAGATCATATAAATAAATATATCAACTTTTTAACTATCCCCCATTTCACAAAACGACTAAGCACAAACGATGTATGCGAATCATTTGTGAACCTCTGCTGCATCACCCGCACCAAAAAGATTTTATGAAAGAGACTGTGTGTGCAGAAAAAAGCTGCGTCTCCTACGAGAATAACACGCTCAATGTCTAATAGTTTCCAGAACCGTCAACATCCACAAATCAAGCCATATGATCGTAAGATGACGCCGACTACCCAGGATTTAAAGGACATGATTCTCTATACTATCTCTAGCAACAAAGATAAATATATGGGTGGTTAAAGTTTCACTCCCGATAAAGAAAACAAAAGATGTGACCGGAAATGAAAAGTAATATAAACGTACTTGACTGCACCACCACAACGAACAATCCATTCCGCAGCGGCTCGGTCGGGACCAACCTCCTTGATACGTTGAATATCATAACTAAAGTTATGAATATTGAACCAGGAGCAATGTGATCCTAACGGACCTCTCGAGGTTCTCATGTAATAGGGCGCGTGTAGCCCAGTGGTCGGAGACGCCCTGCAATACGCATGGGATCGATCCCAGCGTCCTAGGCTCACCAAGCCTTCCAACCCTCCAGGGTCGGCAAAATGGTACCACACTTGTTTAGGAGTATAACAGCACTGGCTCTATACATCAGTAGGCCACCGCGAGTTATTGTAATGGCCAGATATGCATTCAATCACCTCCAACGGGACCTGATTAAGTCAAATGCGCGGCGCACCTCTGAGGGATTGGTCAACGCCGAGAGCTTTATTCTATACCGTTTATCATGCAATAAATGGAAAAGAGTAAAGGATCAGTCGTCTGATACTGAACAATCACTTTGGAATGTGCTATGCATTGGACTACACTGAGAACTGTAGAAATGACTGAATGCGTATTAGTCTTACACAGTAAATTCCGGGACCCTACCGATGTATCAGACCAGCATTTCTATACGCCTGAACAAATCCGCTTCCAGTTTTCTGACGACAGAGGCATAGAAAACTTGGTTTGCCTGGGGTGCGAGTACTAAGGATAGGTATACTGCAAGTCACTTTCAACCACTACGCTACACGAATCCCATTATATTAATTATCTAAATCTGGTCATTTAATAGCTTTGCAATGATACGACGTCTCTTGGAGCCCTTTGCAAGAAGACATCTAGACTTTGAAATATGTAGGAAACTTTTTCTTGGACGAGTTCATTGACCTGATTGCGTCCGAGTAGCAATTGTTATCACATCTATCGCCATAATGAGTCATAGTTATCTCACAGAACAGGCGGGAATGGAGAATGTAAAAATAGACAGAGAAATAAACAATCTACAGTACACTTCCAAATGCTGACGACAATGTTGCTATGGTGGATGAAAGAATTAGGAAGGATAGAGCTCTCGGCGTTGATGAATCCCTGGAGGATGCACCATGCATTCGACTTCACTTAACATCGTTGAAGGTAAATGAACGCATATCTGCGCTTTACAATGATTCGAGGTGGCCTACCGATTTATCCACTCAATGCTGCTAGCCTCCGAGACAAGTCTGCTACCATTTCGCCGATCCCCGATCGATGGAAGGTTTGATGGGCACGGGGCGCGGGATCAATCCCGTGTGTGCTGTAGGGTCTCTCTGATTAATGCGTTCCACACGTCCCAAATAGTAGTGTTCATACCATTTATAGCTCTTGAGCCATAGAGCAGAACCTGTTTTATAAATCTCTCATACCTTCATCTCCATAATTCTCTCAGATATAAAAAATCACCGTCTATTATAGATAAAAACTAGGTATCGTCTCATGTAGTGGTTAAACAAGACTATGTGACTTCGCCAATTTGAAGAAAGAATAGAAAGAATTTGCTTTTTGTGTATGCTTACGTGTGGGATGACGCATTACATAAGGAAATAGTAGTTACTAATAAAAAGTTTCTTCTTGGAATAAGTCCTGTACTCTTCACAACACAACAGGGCGCATGTGGCACAGTGGTCTTGGCGCCCTGCAACACACACGCGGAATCGGCCCTGCACCCAGGCCCACCAAGCCTTCCATTCCTCCGAGATTGGCGAATTGGTACCAGATTGTCTGGGAGGATAGTTGCACTGGCTCGATATATCGTTAGGCTACTGCGAGTCATTGTAAAGGTCAGATATGCATTCAGTCACCTCTAAACGATGCTTAATGAAGTCGAATGCATGGCGCATCCCTTAGGGATTGATCAACGCCGAGAGCTTTATTCTTTATCCTTTTACTCTTCACAATAGGTAGTCGTAGGAACTTGTGGAGAACTTCTCTCGGATAACTGATACAAATTTATCACACTCCGAAGTTGATCCAGTACAGGAGTAGTGATTTGATGCAGTGATTAGTGATGCAGTCCATCAGAAAGCAAGGTGCTCGTTTGAGCCCTCTCTAGCACTCTCCGCTAATCCATATGGGAACGCCTTAGCTCGGCTACTTCCAGAATTTCAAGGAGAATAAACCAGCATCCTACAACATTCCTTAAAATCCGATATTTCGAAGGCTTTATGAACGATGAATGTGAGGAGAATAAGTCGAATGCAAGAAGTGCTGGGATTCGCACAGTAGATGTGATGACGGCTTATGCAGAGTAAAAAAATAGAAACCCATTATTTATTGGTCTTTGCCAAAAAAGATCCAAATTTGCTTACTCCATCACGATGAATTTCTAACTTTTTCACTTACAAATCGCTCTCTGCTCCCACTGTCCTCATCGGATCGATCAATCCCTGAGGGGATGCACAACGCATACGACTTCATCAAGCATCATTAGAGATGGCTGAATGCATATATGGTCTTTACGAACGACTCGCGCTCACCTATCGATGTATCAAGCCAGTACTGCTATCCTCCTAGACAAGTCTGGTTCTAAACTGCCAACCGTATGGAAACGAAAAACTTCGTAAAACCGGAGCACGGGATCGAACCTACGCGTATTGCAGGGCACCTCTAAGCATTGCGTTACACGCTCCTACAAACTGAACTATAAAATGAAAGAATGCAGCAAAGACGAAGGATAGTTCGATGGGAGAAAAGGATGGGGTTGCTACTAACGTGAATTACTACAAACTCGGAGTTGAAAAATTAAACTCAGAAAGATGAAATCAGTCAGATGGACTCATACGTCGAACACCAAAAAGTTTGTCGTCGCAGAACGGAGAAATACTTTACCATCCTCACATCTTAACATACTACTATATGTTGGAGACGAGATCTACCCACCTTGTCCTTCAAATGTTAGTTATTTCAGTAAGAATGAGGAAGTGAGCCCCAAATCAATAGTAGGAATACTGTTATTTCAATTAAAGAAAAAAAGGAACACTCCACAAGAAGTATTTTAGATCAAATGCAGTCACAAAATGACTACATTGTGATTTCGACTGCAGCTTCAGCTTAACTGGGTTCAATGCCGATTTGTACAACCCAAATGAATCTCTCTAACGGGTGAGTACTGATGGTGCTCATAGAAAGAAAGCTAGCTGAGAGACGGGCGAAAAGAAGAACCCTCAGTGTGCAGGTTAGTACGTGAACCTCCGGAATGGATAATGGCGTGTTCGAACCCAACCGTAGACACCTGGTCCGGAGTTTTGCAAATATCTCAGCATCATTGTGAAATCAAATAAGTGATGAATTTAAACACTGAAGATTTTCAGGATTCAAGGTGAGAAGAAACCTGGACGATGAGTTCCACCAAATTTTCTGGGTGATGTTCAGGCCGTTTTATTGAGTATATACAACAAAATTAGCACCATTCGAAACAACTCACTAGTTGAATCCATCAAGTAACCAGCGTAAGCCTGGTATGTTGTGCTTTCCCAATGCCGAAATAAACCGATTCATCGACACCTGGGAGATCTCGACTCATCTTTACCACCAAAAATTCATCTATTTATTTTAATTAAATCCGAACGAACACTATTCACTGAGAGCTTCTGCACTACAGATCATCAAGGAAAGGCTATGAAGTCATCTTTATGCAAAACAAAGTATGAACACAGCGGCTACGTCAAAAAATATGCAGGCAGTACAAGTAGTACATTCGAGTGGATTGGATAGTTATGACAAAGGTACTGAAACAGAGGCGTACTTATCTAATACTTTGGCACAAAATATTACACAAAAGGAAACCTTGGGCATATTTACAGACACTCGTAAATGATCAGAGAAACACCGTTTCCTAGTCCAGATAGGGCTTCGGTGACCATTCTTTGGGATGAGCAGTGTATCGTGCTACTTGTCTTCTAGGATCGAAACTAAACAAAATTATGATTGACAGACTTATAGTAACGCAGGTTAATTTTAAAATAAAAGTTCATGACCCTCTGAAGGCTAAGTTTATGGAGTTTACATGGACACTAACTGTAATGGTAAAATTCATATAACGAAGCATTCAACATATATAAGGTCGAGCATATAGACTTGTTGATGTTCTCAAGTTAGACCTCTCGAAATCATTCCTGCTGACAAGGAAATCCTCTTAGTCATTCCATGCATTCGCAACAAGGCCTGATTTCCGTTTACGTCTTAGCGTCCTAGCTCTAGGCCTAATATTCCGTCGTGCACATTATTAATAATGGCATGACTTGGTCAAAAATGCCCCAAAACAAAGATGTCTTAGCCCATTTCATTTGTCAGCAATAGAAAGAAATCGACGAAAATGTGGGAATGAGAAAACTGGTTCCAATAACTGTTCTTGTCAAAAGTATAGTAAAAAAGGACGAAGCTATCGGTGTTGATTAGTCCCTGAGGGATGCTAAATGCGCCATGCATTTGACTTCATTAAGGACCGTTGGAAGTGATTGAATGCACATCTGGCCTTTACTCACGATGGCCTACCGATGTATCGAGCCAGTGCTGCTATTAACCCAGACAAGTCCGGTACCAATTTGCCGACCCCATAGGAATAGAAGGCTTAGTGAGTCTTGGGTGTGCGGATCGATCCTACGTGTATTGCAGGGCACCTCCAACCCCTGCGCTACACGTGCCAATAGTATGAAAAATAATGAAGTATGAAAAGTGTAGAGAGAAAGTGGGCGTGAAAAAAAGAACCAATAGAAGTAAGAGTCGTATGTAACTCATATACTCTTAAATTAGTAAAAAAGTAGTTTATGTCATCAAAAACGTCCCCACATGCTCACCTTGCCAAATCCTGTCTTAGCATATATTCGCGCACTTTCCAACGAAGCGCTAGCCGCTTCTGTTCGCCCGGAGCAGGTCTACGAGCCCATTCTTCTCTAAAGAATCGCATTCGTAAGTATATGTATAATATGTGTAGAGTTGTATTAAGTCGAACTATGATGTTGACTTATTCGAAGCCTCGTAACTTCAAATTTTTCCATATAGTATCAACACAACTTTGAAGATTTAAAACCACATATTGAAGTCTTAATTCACTCGAAATTATGTAATTTTGGCGCTGTCGACTACCCATATTATAATAGTAAAAGATTCCTAAATCCTATAGTTCAATGCGCAAAGTCGGTCTTCATGAACAAACTCGCTCAAAAAAGTTTCTCTTATAAATTATTAAGCGCAGAGAACACATTATTTGGTGCATTCCCTGGTTCAACGATCTAAGTTTGGTAAGATGTCAATTTTTTCTAACATGATCCTGCCTTCACGTCTACTGTGCGGATTCCATTCGATCCCATCTCACGATTCGTTTCCTCGCATCCATCATCCACGAAAGTCTTCCAACTTTTGCGTGTGGGTTCGACTGCTGCTTGATGATTTAGTCATGAATGCTGGTCGAGTCGACTATCCCTCGTCTCAGTGGATAAGCCGTACTAGAGTGCTTCCACGTGGAGTGGAAGGAATTAACTAAGAGCGAAATCTGTTAATAATTTCCTAACCCCAGAGTGATGACAGACCCGCTGAGTGGTGGGAGTCTAACTAACACCGTCTTCGTAATGATCGCCATCACGACCAGTGCGTCAGCTTCCGCCTATATGCTATCACGTAGATATAAAAATGTGGTAAAAGCGTTTTGTTGATCAAAGGACCACCGAAAACAAAAATGTAGTGAATGGTATCGACCATTTCAACTGTCAACGTGCGCTTGTACACAATGCGCATCGTTTGTTATGTGGTTAAAAGCTGGAACGGCTTGTAAATTTGAAAAAACGATTGAGCAACTTAGCACTGATCAACGCACGGTTATCTTCAAACATCAGCCATTTTCTCCCACTCGTTTGTTCCAGTATATCAGCTTTTCCTGCTTCTTCAAATTCGTCTCCGCTATGCTTTTGTATCCTATGCGCGTAATATCCTTGCACAGGAGTCTAAAACACCAGCGCGAAAACTTCTTGAGGCTTCCTCGATAAATGCCAAAACTCTACAACGAATAGCAGGGATAAATGCCAAAAACCCTACAATGAATAGCCGTATGTTCGCATCGATTTCTGATGTGGGATGGTGCAATCATCAACCATATGCGACTATAATCAACTGTTCTAAACTTCCCCATTGGAAGTCACGTAACAAGCGGTGAGGTTTTCGAGAAGCTGTTGATCATTTAATTACTATAGAGTTTTTCGACTTTCTGGAAGTGTTATTGAAGCGTTTGTCCTAGTAGATTGTATATTAGCATACCCTTCCAGACTCTGAAGAAGGCGATACTGGTCAAACGTCAGCTACTGTTATATTGTATTGTTTCTCTATGGAAATAAATGTATGCTGTTTAAAAACCTCGCGACTGCTGAACAAGAAAACGACGCATTCATATTCCAATGCTGAGGTTAATAGAAAGTCGATCCTGGAAACTATTACTCTCAAGTCTTGAAGAGCCAGAGAGCAGATCTTGTTGCTCATCAGTATAATGCTTGATGTCTCTGCTCCGATAGATCACAAGGAACCGTGTAATCATGCACTACCTACATTGCGCATGACGAAAATAAAATAAAATAAAAAGGTCAGGCGCAACGCGCTCAGAGTGCAAAAATAATGGCCGCTTTCAGTTTTGAATCAACACATCTCTCAAAGTCGGTCAGTTCAGAGTAACCTTTTATTGAATGCAACTGGAAATTTTAGATTCTGCAAATTTTTTTCCACTTGATAATACCTTTTTAGTCTTATCAAGATGGATGACATTTTTTCGCCGAAGCAAGTGTTTCGTAAGGTAAAGCAGTTGAGCAGGCGGTATTTTATCCATTTTCCTTATATTTTACATCCTACATGACCCGTCACCACATCTTCTGTGCGAGCACTTCAGCAACCGACACCCACAAACGTCTTCGAACATTTTGCGTGTTATTTCAGCTACTGCTTGAGGACTTCGTCTTTTTTATGAATGTCGTAGAGTGCTGGTCGAGCCAAACCTCCTTGCAGTCTTGAAGAGAGCCGGGCTAAGACGTTTCCATGTGGACAGGAGGGTACTGTTGGGGAGGAGATAGAACTAGCGCCTTTTGCTTTCTGATCGACAAAATCACTAACCACTTAGCTATCTTCGCCCCATTTTGTCGATTAGTACATAATAATATTTCGAAAAGCGTTATTCATATTCATGGCTGTCGTAATTTCGTTTGGAAATTTAAAAATCTGAATTTCACCTAAATCTCTCCTAAAAATCTTAGTTCTAGATAAATCTAAAGATTAGAAAACAGCTTTAATGAACCATACTATCTTTAGTGTATAAAACAAAATCTCTTTTATAGCCCGACATACTTGCAACTCGTAATGTTTCTCAGTTATGAGAAAATTGTCATCTCATCAGGCTGCAAAAAACCAGCTTCGGTCTCTAAGTGCTAACGAGCTACTGACAGTGGAAACAAATCCGCGTAGACACTTCTACACAAATAGAGTACTATGTTTGGTAATCGCAACCTAACCAAACTATTCTTTGTGCGACCCAGATGGTGTAGTGGTGAAGTGCGCTGCTCCCCGGTAAGGACAACAGCGCGTGTTCGTTCCCCACTGCATACACCTGTGGCCCGGAGTTTTGCAAATATCTCAGCATTTCATACGAGTTGTATTTTTTGTGCGTTCTCAAATTTTTCAAATAGGCGCAACTTAAGGTCATTTCAAAAATTTAGAAAAAGAAGTAATAAACACACCGTATAGAATGGGCAGTTATCTGAATAAGCCCACTAACTCTGTACTAAGATTTTAATTCTGACGCTTATTCCACCTCGGCACAGAGAATCAAGGTCTGATTTACTGACAAGCTTACATGAGGTATTATTTGTATATCCTTACTATGGCTAACGTTTCACCATTTTGCCTTCTTTAGAGCCGCAGTGATTCGAGTCGATTGTTCACAACAGCTGCTTCTTTTTGCGATATTCGTCGTACAAGTTAGCAACCGACCAAGGGCCGTCCTGTATGCTCAAGAAGTTCCGTTTCCAATCAACGGGTCGCTTTAGTGCAGCTACAACTCCGTTCAAAAGGATCGTACTCGGTGGTACTGCTTCATACCTGAGGTGCTCCACTCTATTCCATTCTACTCGACGAAACAAAGACGAAGACCCACATTGCAGAAAAAAAGAACTGCCACGGACATTCGACTCGCATCATTGTGGCTTTGAAGGCCAAGCCGCCGAAAGGTTATCCATAATAAAGATTTGTAACAAACCTGTGCAAACTAATCAATAGACCAGAATATTACTATTAAACCACATCTAGCTTAAAACATAAGAGGAAAGCGAAACTACCCTAGGGAAAATCCTCATGGACTTTGTCAGTTGGTGTGACGACTGCAAGGATAAACAGTACCAAGATCATTTCAGGTCTAGTTCTGGTGATTGTAGTTTGCAGTAGTAGTGAGTGGAATCCGCATACAGACTCATTAGTACATAAAGACAGACGGGAATGGACTTTCACTCACAGATGGAACGACGTAATAGCCGATTTGAGTAGATATCCGTTCATCTTTTTCGTGACCGTTTATTTTGTCGTATAAAGGTTTCTGTTCTGGACATCGGATCTACAAACCTATTCTATAAAACTAACAACTCTCAAAAACTGCTTTTAGAAGAGTTCAAATGACGTTTCTATTGCACTCTTCGCAGTTCAATTAAGTAATTTGAACTTTCAGCACTGAACAAACAGATCCCAGCTCACATTGAACCGAACGCATTGAAACCAGAACTACTAAGGTTTGCAGGTCTTTACAAACAACAGGTGCCCTTTCTTACACTAAAGATTGAAATTTCTATTTCTTAGAACTCATAAAACATAACTATTCCGCCGAAGTTCTTGTTGTTAACGATGACGCTGGTAAACAAGAGGAATTTTGTCTAACACGACATTATAGCGCTCCAAGACATTAAAGTTTTGAAGGCTTTTTCCAACTTGTGCGGATTTCAATTCAAAACAAAACATGAAATTAAAGGAAGACTTTAGGAAGGTTATAGATAACTACACTGTGATGAGGCGCATGGATCAGAGGCACCCTGTAATACATACGGATCGATTTTCGTGCCCTATGTTCACCAGTCCTCTCATCCTTCCGGAGTCGGCAAATTGGTACCAGACCTGTCTGGGAGGACATCAGCACTGGCTTGATACATCGCAAGGCCACCGTGAGTCATTGCAAAGGTCAGATATGCATTCAATCACCTCCAATGATGCAAAGTTAAGTCGAAGGCGTGCATGGCACTTCCTTTAGAGATTGACCAACACCGAAAGCTTTATCCCTTTTATAGCAGGATAGAGTTTTTATAAAAACAGCAAGCTCCCAACTCCATTAGTTAGCGAAAAATTGCCGAGAGTTGTCGAAAAACTAGTGTCGCCTGCTGTGTGTCAAGCACACGAAAAGAAATTTTGATTAATAATTGTCAGCTATTGCATTTCCAGTCACCATGATGGATCACGGTTATCTTGTGTAACTGACGTAGATTTCAAAAAGATCGATATATAATTCATATTTGTTCATATATGAAACCGAATACCCCGTGCTGAAATTAGCGCAGTTGCATGTGGTTTCAAAAGTGCGGCGAATACATAAAAAGGCTTAGACAATAGGAAGCGAGCGAAGAATACCAAGAATACAAACAAAGCATACAGATAAACCGAACTATATGGAGCAAACCACAACAAAAAGTGCGGAACCAAAGGTCTGCTTGGCAATGCATAGTGACCGGTGTGACTTGATATCCACTCACAGCGAGTGCACCGAGAAAATACACGCCAAATGGATGCGTAAGTTAAACGGATCTAGGCGCCGATCCTTATGTGTTAATATCGTCATGGGCGCGAGAAGAGCGTACAATTTACGCATCGCACCCGCATTTGACACCTATCCGAGTGAAACAAACATTCTATACCTTCAGTGATGGCAAAATGGTTTAAAATATTCCTGTAAAATGCTTCCTGGTTACTTCTGATCCGCATAAAGTGGCAAATGTCTGAGGCGAAGACCTAGGGTTGAATCAGGACAACTACTTTAAGATTCCAAAGGAAATCAACTCGATCAACATCTAATGACATTCACGTAGAAGACTCATGTGGTAGCCTAATCCATGTAAGATCCAAAGACTTTTGTGGAAAACGGATGCGAGACAGAAAACTGAGTAAAAGAAGTGCTAGGATCTGCATACAGTAACCTAGACTGACATAATGGTGATAACAAAAAAAAATCCACCATACCGATATAGCTCAAATTTCTTCACCGGGTCGTGCTTGTAGAACAGCTGACCGGGAACAATCTGATCAACACGACGAAGACCTGAACATGAAAACAAGATATGAACCCGTTTCACAAAAGAAAAAAAAAGAAGAAACAACTTGGATCGGGATGAGTAAACTCCTCAGGAGATCCTCTTGGTACTCCCTCATTCGATTCCTTCAATCTTGTGTATGGCATAAAAAATTTTGGACAAAGATGGTGTTGGCCAAAAGCATGATGGTATGTATCGCCACCTTGATTCTCTTAAAGTACTGAAGATGAATCCAAGCCAAGCATAACTACCGAAACATCAATCCTACCTTTATCGTCATTTCCATCTTTCCCATAGAATTTTGAAGCACCATTAGCTCTACAGCTTTTTCTATCAGTTCTTGCGCATCCGACCGATGACAACTTCATTTGCTAAAAACGGTATAACAAGATATTGACGAAGTGATAATATATCCTTAATAGCCACAAAAGGATAAAAAGGACAAAAAGAAAAAAGCTCTCGGCGTTGACCACTCCCTGAGAGATGCGCCATGCGTTCGATCTTATCAAGCATCGTTTGGATGTGATTGAATACAATGGCCTCTGGCCTTTACAATGACTCGCGGTGGCCTACCGATGCATCGAGCCAATGCTGCTGTCCTCCCAAACAAGTCTGGTACCAATTTGCCGACCCGGAAGGATTAAAGCCTTGAAGGGCTAGGGGTGCTGAGATCTATCCCATGTGCGTGTTGCAGGGCGCCTCTGACTACTGTGCCACACGCGCCCTTACCAACCATATTCAAACAAATACTGTCAGTCTCCTTACCAAGTCTTCAACAGTCGCCATTGTCCGGTAAACACTATTTAAACATCGCCAAGCGTCGTTAAGTAGAAAGTAAGCGGCTGGGTTGTGACGTTTCTTAAATAAGAAGGAAACAAACAAGCAATGACAACTGAAAACTAGTTTTACAATTACTAAAACTAAGAACGATTTGGGCTTCCCAGATCAATCCCGTTGACGGCTGATTGCTGATGGCACTGGTCGATAGAAAAGTAGCTGAGAGCGAAACGCGAAAGGTGAAACAAAAAACTCGGATGGTGTGGTGGTGTACGCGTTAGCTCCCGGAAAGGGTAATAGCACGCTTGTTCCCCACCGCAGATAATTGCGGTCCGGCGTTTTGCAAATATCTTAGCATCAATGTGGTTGTATCACACATAATACCTGCCGTGGAAAATTGTAATACGATGTAGATAAGAAACTAACATTGAAAACTGAGTATGCCATACCATCAGTTCATTCTCTTCGGATGATGGGACGTCCAGTGGGACCTCCTTAGTTTGACAAGCACTGCGACAATTTGACCTTAGCGAGCGCTTACCTTAACTGTAAAGTGTGGTACGAAGGCACAAAACAAATAACGAAAATTTTTGACGAACAAAGTCGATGAATAGGAGATGAAATGTTGTCCCAAGGGTTGTTATCGCTTCTGTCGGTCGTGGGAATCGAGTCTGACAAACTGAGACTTCCGAAGAGAGATGAGTCCAGGTGCCCGCCATCGCTCTCCAGAACTGGTTCGGCTACTATTTCGTCGATTACTGGAAGACGATTGTTCTTAAATTACAACTTGTGACGTCACCCAATTAACAACTCTACTTACAACTTTTAATGCATAAGGAAATACTTAGCACTACTATTACCACTATTGGTTAGCAAAGGGCATAAAAATATTTCAAAACTGACTTTCCTTTAACCTTGCTATGACTAATCAATATTTATTCTCTAGTTGCTAAGCATGTACGATGTTGACATATTGTCGTTATTCAGCTAACGTTTCGGCGGATTCGTCTTCATCAGAGCCGATGGTCCGAGCTGGTCCGGGTTTATCAGAGAAAAAAGACCACTACTACTTTCATAAAGAAGGCTCACCCACTTTGTCATTGCAAAGGAACAAGGTATAAAAGGGAAGAAACTAGAGCTACCTTAGGAAAGGTAAAGTAAGTCGACTGTTTGCTACGAGATTTAGAAAATGCGAAAATTACTTACGAATCGTAGCTCTATAAAGTGTTAAGGTTTGCTTGAAAGTCAACGGCGCCTTAATAAGACCCTAAAGTTCTCCATAACAGGTTGATGTCTTGCTGAACCAAAAAACGAAGAATTTCCACCCCGACCACTGAGGTTGATGAGCTAAAAAGCACTGTCGACTAACCTCTTTTCAGAACACCGACGTTCTCCGAAGTAATTGGCAGACCAATGTCCTCGCAAACACGAAGAAGTTCTTCTTCTGTGTACTCATCTCCCGAACTAAGTACGCTCATTTTCATAAACTAGTCAGATGCCCGCACCTCCGACCTCTCTCACGTCAACAACGTGGCCCACGGTGAATGTGGGCGTCGCACTGCGTGTCGTACGTGTTGACGCCGTCCTCCTTTCAACCTTTTGAATTTGCCGCCATCGTTTCGTACCGATTTAGGTGGGAAGGATTCTGACTTTGAATTGCGAATTTTATCCAATGCAATGCTGTCGTGTTCAGGCCGGCGTTCTGTAATCTTGTTATGTAATGAGTCTGTTGGGTTCTAGCAGCAATGCTGGCACATCGTCCTCCCGAAACGAGGATTTCGTTGAGAAGTCCGCGAATTACTCGTCCACTCAGCCTTCTTCTGCTAAGAGTGGCAGTGTTCTACCCAATGGTCAGCATCATGTAAATGACGAATCGAAGGAGTCAACTGGTATGTCTTTTACTGTAGTACGTGAAGCATGGTCTTTAACTGGTTGTACATCTCAGAGTGAACATTATGATGGTCCCAGAATGGATGTCTTTTTGCGTTGAGTTGATGACAGAATAAAGATGATCATTAAGTAGTAGCTTAAGGAAACTGTTATCTGTTTATAAGAGTGTTGGGTAAAGTTTCGATATGCCATTGGCCCGAGCCGTTAGCCAAAAGCATTGAAATTGGCTCAAAGGATTTCTTAAACAGATTTTTATTACGCTTTTTTCTTACCTTAGTATTTGGTTTTCATATAGATGTCTAAGGCTGATCTGAATGTCAGTATTTTTATGGAAAGTTACTGGGAAAACAAGCTTTGATATTGTCCCGAACGGTTTCTGGAACAGTTCTGTGTTACCTTTTTTTTCCTTTAGTCTTTGGTCTTCATTGGAAGGAGTTTGAGGGAATCATGTTCAAGGTCCTTATGTGATAACCTTCTTCTGCCAAGGATGCGAATGTTCTGCCCAATGGTGACACTAGTTTTCTCATCAAACTTTTAGACAATAAAGCGACCTATTCTTTTTTTTATAGCAAGAGACTTTTCCTACCTGGTAGGCGCTATTATATGCATTGTAGTGTGAAGGGTGACCCCGTACGATTTGCTGATACTCAGTGGTTCGTGAAACGAAGTAGGCCCATGTCCGAAGCCCCAAATATCCCAAGTGGAAGACCCAAATGAGATCGAAGTACTGTAAAGTGTTATAAGGGTATGAGGTTAAAGCATTATTGCAGTATAAGGTAGAAATGATTATCGATTGAAGTCAAGAATTTGTGCACTAACTAAAGATTTGAGGAAAAAAATCTTTGCTACTAGATCTCTTCGATTAGGTGTTTCGTATGACGTTTTACTTCCTACCTTTAACATTCTTCTATGCCAAGTCGAGTATATTTTCACTTTGCTTATTTTTAATCACTGATTGATTAGTTATGTGTAAGTAGCGTAACGCTGAGAACTATAACGCCCCCGGAAAGAGCAATGGCGCGGGTTCGATCCCCTACCGCAGACACCTGCGGCCCGAAGTTTTGCACAAGCACCATTGTGGTTGCATTTCACATCATATCCTGCCATGAAAAAAGAATACGCAGTAGGTAGAAAGTTATGAGTATTAGAATTACTTTTCCCTTATCCTTCTTCACGTGGCTAGACGGATTTGTTACAAAGTAGATCTTTTCTTCCCTACCTTACTTTACGAAATGGTAATTTGAAGTATGCGGTGCTAACTTATGTCGTATATATGAAGAAGTTGAGCGGTTTGTAAGCCTTCCCAATCATTAACAACATTCTTTCAAGGAGTTTCTGAAGAATACGATGGAGAGGTCGACGATGGTATCGACCAACCACAGATGGGAACACGTGCGGACAAATCGTTAGGTCTTTTGACACAACGATTTATACGTTTGTTAGAAGCTTCAGAAGGAGGTATTTGTGATTTAAATCAGGTATATATGGATAAATCATATATTCTGTCTTAGGATATTGGGTTTTTTTTTCTTGCCGATTGAGTAATAATGGAGTTTCAGGCAGCGGAGGCTTTAAATGTCCGTCAGAAGCGTCGAATTTATGACATAACGAATGTTTTGGAAGGGATTGGGCTTATTGAGAAGAAGTCGAAGAATATCATACAGTGGAAGTGAGTAATTTGTTCTTATTATTCGGTCCTCATGACTGGATTAGAAATTATTTGTTGTAGAGCTGGTGATTTGCTAAAAGTTGACGAGAAAGAAGACGAACCCATGTTGATTTCTTATCTTGAAAATTTGAAGGCAGAGTTGGCTCAACTGCGCGATGAGGAGACTGTCTATGATGAACACACTAAGTGGCTACAGCAGGTGCTATGTTTCTCCGTATTTTTGTCTAACGCGATTAGAAAAATGGGGAAGACTATGTTATGTTTGCTCTACTATCTCTCAATTCCTCTCACAAATCATCATAATCGTTAGGAAATGCGCCTCATTATTTATAAGTGGCCACTTTTTTTTATTTACTGCGTATTATTTCTTTATGGCAGGGTATGATGTGAAATACAACAACAATGATGCTGAGATATTTGCAAAACTCCGAATCGCCACTGTCTGCGGTGGAGATTGAACTGGCTATTACCCTTTCTGGACACTAACGTGTTCACCACCACACCATAAAAGTCCTTTGTTTTGCTTTTTTCTCAGTATATTGTGGTTTATAAGTGTTTTAGGAAGATTTCCTTCTTAAAGCGTTTCAGTTCTGATAGGTTTCCAACTTACAGAAGAGTACATGATTTTAGATTGACTTTTATTAAATCATTGAAGCCATGGCACTAGTAGGTAGGAAATTAGCTGAGAGACAGGCAAAACGGAGGACCCGCATGTTGCCGTGGCGAACGTGTTAGCCACCGGAAAAGGTAATAGCGCGTTTGTTCCCTAGTGCAGACTGCGACCAGGAGTTTTGCAAGTATCTCAGCATTGTTATAACTGACCTATGTGACTTCTTAACGAAATGTTCCTGCAGATTAGTGGTTGGGGTGCCACTCTCATTGTTAGATTTTAAACTAGGTAGTATGATCTTTTCACCACCAAAGATTTTGTATGCATCCGTTTATTTAGTCACTGGTTACTCGAGGTGTCAAAAACTTTTTATTAATCGAAATTGGTTGAAATTTTGATAGTGTCTTTAGTCATCATTGTTTTACTAGGACCTTGTTAGTTTAAGTAACAGTTTGGCTAAGTGTTGTCATATTCGGATGTTATTAGTGTAAATAATAGGACTTTTCAGAGCTTGCGTAACATTTGTGAATCGTCGAAGAACCAACGATATGCATACATTTCCCAGTCGGATCTTCAGAAAGTCTTCCCGTTTTCAAATACCTTTGCTGTACAGGCTCCACCCGGAACAAATGTTGAAGTGATCCCACCAAAAGTATGTTCCTTTCCTTTTTCTGAACTCAGTACGTTAGGATGTTGTACAGTGTTTTATCTGCTGTTTTAAGTTTGGAGCAATTAGCGATTCGAGATATGTATTGCGTCTGTCGAGCTCTTGTGGTCCAATCACCGCCGTATTTGCCAATAGAGATGAGAGTCGAGCAAGAGTCTATAGAGCCATTGTCGATTCAAGCCGCATTCAGGTATTATTCGTAGGGGATTCGCCCCTATTCCAGAAACACGTTTCCATAGCGTATGTTAGTTAAATCGGAGAAATGTTTGTTTTATAGCCGGAACAAGGTCTGTATTCCACAGTAGCGGACGACCCTGGTTCAATTTTTGAGGAAGAGGAAGACGAATCAGTGGTGGTACCCCGTAAACGTCGTGCGGATGAAGTGTCAGGCGCGTTTTTATTTACATCGTTGAAGTCAACATTTCATTATTTCCTTGTTGATTATAGCGCGGGTCGCACAGCGTTAGTGGTACGATTCAGTACGCGCAAGGCCTTGTATCAACCCCATGTCAGGCAAACCAAGTCTTTCATCTAGTTTGGTTATCGCAGGATTCCAGGGAGAATCAACAACTCGACTAACATTGAGCGACTTTCATAGTTTAAAGGAAAAACTGGCTAGCAGGAAAACAATCCATACGCAAATCCGAGGACCTTTGTGGATAGTGAATGCGAGAAAACGAATCGGATGCAAGAAGTGCGGAGATTTGCACAATATATGCGACCTTTGGTCGTGTAAAAAGGTTCCACTAATGTTTGCTAGCTTATTTGTACATTTTATAATACGCCTAGCCTCCTAAGCTTATTTACTTGGATGGTCCGTCACTGCTTGTGCGAACCCCAGCATGGTTTCCATTTTTTGGAGTTTTACTTGTTTAGCCATTATGGTTCCCTGGAGTGCTGAGGTCAGCTTAGGCGAAGTGTGCTCCAGGTCTTCACCAGCATAGGCAGTCACCGCCTTTGTGGACCAGAGGATTTGCCATCATGCGACTAGTTTGGCCAGGACAGTAGTGGATCCTGGTATTAGTTTACTGTTGGCTGGGGTTCCTGATGGAAACGCCGGACCCTCAGCTTGGGAGTCCCTGTTGGGGAAATGAACCTTCTCAATGTACATCGCAGCCGGTTACCCAGGAACACCTGGCCACGATGAGTTAGTAGACCGTTGGTAGCAGTACGACAATAAGAAAAGAAAGAAAAGAGCCTGCCAAAGGCGTCCTTAATTTTCTTTTAAAATGGACTATGCTGGCTAAGAGATGTTTTCAAGAAAGTGCAGAAATCCAAGATAGGCTTCGTTCAAGCACTCAACATCGCTCGTATATTCATGTTAATCGATAAAACAGATTGATCCACAAGTAACAAGAACACGATGTTGTACATTGGCCCTCCTTTCAAACCACTGTGCCAAGTTTGAAACAATTCTAAGGGTTTCATAAATAGGACGCATGTGAAGCAGGGAATTTTTAATTCGTCTAATCGGTATTGAAGACTTTCCATGTTAAATACCGGAACAGGGGGTATAGTTCAATTTTTACATTAAATTTAGGTAGTCTATCGACTCGTTCTTATCGTGTAAACACAACAAATCATGGCGTTGAGAGTTCAGGTATGGTTTACAGTACTTAGAAGACTTAGATGGCCTGTCTTCGCTGGTTGTGCCAGTTCCACCATCATTCTCACTGCTTTGGCCTTTTACTGGCTTAACCATTGTGGGTTTTCTTGAGTCCCGAGGTCAGCCAGACCAAACAGTGCCAGTCCTATGCTTCATAATAGTGGAATTCGTTTATTATAACAGGTTTATCAATTTCAGATAAAAGTACAGGCTGTACAATAGTGCAATTGCAACCGCCTCCGAATCACGACGACTACCAGTTCCGTGTCCGGAACTATAGCAGTGCATTTGATTTGTTCGTCGACGAAATCTAGTCTTTCCTACCTGTATTTTGACCAAAGAGTTTCAGGTTATCTCACGTAGTCCGTTCTACGTTGTTGTTTTTCTTCGTGGAGCATCATCGATATGTTTCTATCTTTCAGTGGCCATGGTGACATTGTGTTTAATTCTACCTGACCAAGTTTACGTCTGTAATTTTTGTGATTTGAAAAATACTATGGGTGTGTCGAAGATAACCGCAGATGAGCCGTTAAAGGAACGGGTTCGACTTTGTGGGGCTATCACTCGACAGTTTAGAACTAAGACTTAAGATTTTTTTAGAAGTACACCGATGAGAGGGATAAGCGAGTGTCTTGTGACGCCACTTATGTACCTTGGTTACTATTACTTTTCAAGTTATCCTACTTTAGAAATTTGGAGTGAGGTGAAGATTTTATCATTGTTCATCACGGCTCGCAAAGTAATATTCTGTAGTTATTGATCGGTAAGTGAAAGTTGTACGAAGATATACAAATTTTATTCTGCTCTCATTACTTCTATATGCAAATGTTTTCGGACATCCATGAGATTTCCTTATTGTTGAATCCAGTGTAGAACACTAGAGTGACGTGGTATCGCTAGTACGTCTTAGTGCGCTGTTTTTGGGTTTGTTTAAGAGGAATTTTGTTCTAAATGTTTCCTAATTTTGTACATTTCCAGATTTTGGGGGCACTTGTTGCTTTCATTTTATTAGGAACCATTTAGTAAGAAGAACTAGGATCACCTAATGGGATTTCGTCATATCAATATTTCATAATGCTTCCTCATTGTGGTTGATGTGGAAATTTCCCAATTTGTCCCATTTACTCCCACTTAGGTACGCTGTTTAGGAACGACGGTCAGTGTCTTTTTCTTTTTTGATCTCATATTCCTCCATTGCTACGATAAATAACATAAACTTTGTGACTCTTGTGTGGATCTATCATGTACGAAGCAGAGTCTGAGTTCTTACCAGCTAATATTTCCTGTTTTCGTTTTTGTTTTCTTTATTGTGATTGTTTTAAAAGTAGAAATTCTTTCCGACTTAATGCTTCCAGTAAGGTTTATTCAGATATGACACTACTCGTTCTTAAAAGATTGTTGTCAAGTGTACATGACAGTGTAGATGTGTTTGGTTTTCGCTTGTCCTTTCTAGATGTGACTTGTTTTTCGATAATTAGAGAACTTTGTAATTAGAGTGCTTAACAGACATTTAGGAGAGACTTTATCGTTTTAAATAGGTATATATAAAGGAAAGGATGAGGCTGTCGGCTTTGATCAATCCTTGAGGGATGCGCCATGCAGTCGGCTACAGTAAGCATCGTTTAGAGATGAGTGAATGCATGTCTGACCTTTACTCACGGTTACTCACGGCTACCTGCCGATGTATCGAGCCAGTGCTGCTATCCTCTCAGAAAGGTGTGGTACCGATTTGCCGAGCCCGGAGGAATGGAAGGCTTGGTGAGTCTGGGGGTCGGGCATCGATCCCTCGTGTGTTGTAGGGCGCCTACGACCACAGCGTCACATGTGCAGTTGTATATACTGGGTTGTATTTCGCTTGTTCTAACGCTTAGGTATTCGGGGTATGAGAGTTCACGCAAAAAACTGAAGAGATGTTGGTATGGTTAGGACTTCATCTTGGTAGAATAAGATAAATTGTGCTTTATAGGCAGTGTTCTATATATTGTCATGGTTCGTATTGAGTTTTTGTTCGTCTATTTTGTTTTACGTGACTCCTATTTCACATCTAGTGTGGTGATCCTGGTAGTCCTTATATTTGATTCGTCTCCTCGAATCCGCACGGAGATCTTCCAACTTCTGCAGGTTTGAGTTAAGCTTCCGCGTACGGATTTTCGTTTTCATTGTGGATATTGCTGAATATGCAACCCGAGTTGATTCTCCTTGGAGTTTTGAGCTAGCCAGGTTGGAGTGTTCCCACTTGGATTGCAGTGAACTTTGAACTTTTCACAGATAAGCTATGTACCAATTTTTTCTTCTTGATAGAATTATGGTATTAATAAAGCTCAATATCAGCCTAGGTGTGCTGATTTGAATTTTGTTCATCTTGCTTCTATCTGCTTTCATACCATACGCATTGAAATCAGTGTCCGAATGCATTAAAATATTCAACACGGGTGCGCGTGGTCGGAGGCGTCCTGCAGTACACATGTGATCGATCCCAGCCCCTAGGCTCACCAAGCCTTTCATCCATTCGTGTCGATAAATTGGTACCGGACTTGCCTGAGAGGATAGCAGTACTGGATCGATAAATCGGTAGCCCACCGCGAGTAAAGGTGTAAAGGCTAGATATGCATTCAGTCATCTCAAAACGATGCTTAATGAAGTCGAATGCATTGCGCACCCCTAAGAGATTGAACATTGCAAACAGCGTTAGCTTTTTTTATATTTTAAAACCAAGACGAGATTAAACTGGTAAATTTTGGATAGTTACGTAGAAAATGACCATATCATGGGGAATAGTGCTTAATTTGAGACCTTAGCATACCACTTTCAGGCATTTGCTACCGTATGACTCATATATTGGTCATAGTCTACAAAAATTCTACTGTAATCGTTAAACGGACTCTCAGCTGATGATGAATTCTGCAATACAGGACACAATACGAAATTGGTTTTGTTTTCATTTCTTTGAGAACTTTAAGCAAATCTGAAGTGGAATATTTTATGAGGATTATAGATATCTTAACGGCATGAGAGCAGAATCCTCTCTGTTGGTTTGTTGAGGCTTCCAACTTCTCAACTACAGTTATCAGAAGTAATCGGAAAACCAGCTCCATGGCGAATGTGTTAGTACGTTCTGCACAAAACCACTTTCACACTTTCAACTGAGCAGTACTTCTTGAAAGTCCTTCGTACTATATCTTAATCATGAAAAGTGCAACGAATATGGGTAATTGTAGATTTGGAGAACATTTTTCTCGTTTTGAATAGGTAAAAGGAATACTGTGAATTTTTTCGTAATAGACTTCGGACAGGGCTATTGCGGACTTGGTATATTAAAGTTTTCCTTTTCTGTGTTCTGTATATTTTGTTTTGTTCGCAATTTAGTTCTCGGATCTAGTCTATTTAGCGCGGGAATAGTGAAGAAAATCTAATTTTTGATCTTCATAGGTATCGTATCATTCACCAAAGCAATACGAGCAGCTATAAAGGTGGTAAGGGACGTTCAGTGTCAATGGATGGTCAGTTCTGTTGATGTCTGAACTTCCTACAAAGTAGTTCTGTTGCAATGTTAACTTTTTATCTTCTGATAGAGAGGTGGAACGAAGGACTCGCATGGTGTGGTGGTGAACGCGTCAGACTCCGGAAAGAGTAATAGCGCGTTCGTTTCCCACCGCAGACACCTGCGGTCCGGAGTTTTGCAAATATCTCAGCATCATTACAGTTGTGTAGGTGTGTTATTGAAATTTAAGAAGGTAACTAGAATTCAGCTAGGTGGTCATTAGTCTTTGGCAGATACTATATTGTTCTTTTTTGTTTTCATTTTTCAGATGGTAAAGATTCGCCAGCTATGTCTCAGTTAAAGCAATTGGTATTGGGGGAAGATTCACCTATGTCCTCTCCTTCGGACCTCATAAAACGCATGTTTATTCTACAGTATCGCTTTAGAACTTAGGCTACATTTCTTATTTATTGATCGTTTATTGATTTATTGATCGGTGCTCTGTGCATTTTTAGCTGTCATAAAAGAAGAGTTAGCAAGTTTAATTTTTGATGATAAACCAATCCAAAAGACCCCACTCGGTGATGCTATTGACTCGCTGATGGTTCGCTGGGCACAGCTTCTTTCGAATGTCTCGTCTCGGGCACCTGTTCCAGCGCCATCTACTATTGATCATGTCAAAGAAGTAGTTGAGATATCGATGTATCATGTGAGTTATTTTGTGAGTACAATCAGTAAAGTTAGGTCTATTTATAAGATAGCGGTATGACAGATAAGAGGGAGCCGAAAAATTTGTCTGATGAAAGCTAGAAATTTCTTTTCCCTAATATTTTCACTCATAGAAATTGTCTATCATTCCTAAGTTGCATTTGCTTTCTTAAGGAAAACATCTACCGCCCAATATAGCAACCATGTGCTTTCATTTCAGGGCTCACATGCCCAAAAATATATTTGTTTCTTTCAGCGTCAAGCATACATATCTCAGCTTATAGTTATCCTTATCCGTTGAGGTAATAGTATGATCTAGGGAGCTTTACCAACATGCTAGAACTTCCCTTGTTCGAACACCATTGAATACTGATCGAGTGCAGTCAAAACAATATGTATTCTTTCGTCGTTCTTTTCCATTGACGATTATCGTAAGCACAACGTGATGGTGTCCATTTAATGTACTGTTTAAGTTTTGAGCTACAGTTTTTGCGACAATGGCTCTAAGAGCTTAGTTGTTAATTTTTCTAGGGTTATAACCTCAAGCAGTTTTAAAGCAATTAAGAAGAGTAGCATATTCTATTAGTCTGAATTTGTCAACTCCTCAGGCATATTATTACTACTTATTTGATACTTGAACGGCCCGTACTCACTAGTTGTGTGGGCCCAAGCATACTCACTATTTTTCGGAGATTTCCTGGTTAAACCATTGTGGTTTCCTGGAACCCCGAGAACAGCCTGGCCAAAGTCGGCGCCAGGTCGTCACCACAACAGGCAGTCGCAACCCTTGTGGATCAGAGGTACATTTACTACCATGCGACTGTGATACTAAGACGGTGGTGAATCCTGGTATTGGTTTACTCTTAGCTAGGCTTCCTGATGGAAACCCCGGTCTCCTTCCCAGCTCGGGAGACTCTTCCACAGGGATTAATCCCCCGGTGTACATCGCAGTCCGACACCCAGGAACACCTCACTGCCACGATGAGGCGGTGAAACTTTGGGAGGGGCATATTATTAAAAGCTGGCATAATCATGAATCTGTGAAATCATTCGAGGAGTTAATCGCTTCATTGAGAAATGATATCTCTTGAGGACCTAGAGTAAGAGAAGTTTAATCTCCATCACTGTATTTCAAAGCAGTGTTTTACCATCATTTGAACTGTATAACGGGAGCTTTTACAAAATTATGGCAAACGGAAGACGAGTCTTTATACTTCCTTCACTGTTGTTGTTTAATTATATACATTCATACATATATACACAACTGTGTACATATACTTACATGTGTACATATACATGTACATACGCATATACACATGTTCATATATGCACATATGAACATAAATATATGTATTTGTATGTGTACACATGTATGTGTAAATATATACATATATGCATGTCCTCCGAGCGGTTTACCACCTCATCGTGGCTGGAGGGTGTTCCTGGGTGTTGGGCCGCGATGTGCGTCAGGAATGTTCATCCTTTCGACAAGGTCTCCCAAGTTGAGAAGTCCGGCGTTTTCATGAGGAAGCCCAGCTAAGAGTAAATCATTACCAAGATCCACCACCGTCTTGGCATCAAACTAGTCGCACGGTGACGAACCTTGCTCTGATCCACAAGGGCCGCGACTGCCTGTGGTGGTGACGACCTGGGGTGGACTTTGGCCTGGTTTTCCTCGGAACTCTTTGTAAACACGATGCCTAAGCCAGCAAAACTCCGAGAAATTGAGAATATGCTGGGGTCCAGAGTAACACTGAGGACAGTCCGTCCAATTATCCAAGTATTACCACAACGTTGTTGAGATATTTGCAAACTCTGGACCGCAGGTGTCTATGGTGGGGAACGAAGGCGGTATTGACCTTTCCGGGGAGTAACGCGTTCACCACCACACCATGCGGGTCCTTCGTTTCGCCTGTTTCTCAGCTATTTCTATCGATCTTTTTGCCACAGCAATCATCCCTCAGCGGGGTTGATCTGTATCCAAGTATTGTACGTGTATACATATGTGTATATATGTGTATGTATATGTGTAGTGTGTGTTTAAGGAAGACTACTTGAATAATTCAATGTTTTTCATCAATAAGCAGACACGAGTTTGTTAATATAGAATTTATTAGAACACAATTGCTGACGTTTCGGCGGTTTCGCCTTCTTCAGAGCCGTTTATTTGTTGTAAGTATTTAAGTTAGTTGGT